TAAAACTCCTCTCTCACGTGCCAAACATCTTATGGATTGAGTCTTTTCTAATAGATCTCTTTAACTCTAAGTTGAAATGATGATCATCTTATTGTTTTGACCTCCTGATCCAGTTTTCCTCTCTGCTGTTTCCTGTTTTTGAAAGTTATTTACCGTTATATTATTGGGTCTTGAATGGACATTGAAGATGGAAGCCAAAGTTTGAATGTTGGTACCATTACTGAAGACCTGAATGATTTTTTTCTTCTTACCAATGCTCAGCTGACAAGTCATTGGGGTTGGCACAAAACGATTTTAACTTGTTCTGTTTCTAGATGAATAACTCAAAGGTCTTTTTCAGTGATTCTTACCACAAATGTTGTCATGATGACTAAACGTCTTATCTGATAATCTGGACAAAAGTAACTCAATTAGTTTAGTTGTTCTTTAGATATAAACATTCTGTGAGGTGGAGTATTAATTATGCTGTTATACAATTTGGACAACTTTGCTGTCATACCTGATATATATATATATATATATATATATATATATATATATATATATATATATATAATTTCATCCCAAGCAAGGCGATAATGTCACTAAGACGCTAGTGAAAGATAATGAGAAAACTTTACTGCGGAGAAATGACAATAAGAGAACAGCGTTTAGCAAGACAGACAATATAAGTTTGACGTCACATTTAAATTTTAGAAGTATGTAAGTAGCAGGAAAGCAAGAAACTGAGACCGATATCCACAGACGATAAGTGCGAGAAAAGAAATTATTAGAATATATTCTATTCCAATAGATTCTTGTCCAATCTTTTTTTCTCTAATGAGCCAATTTAGAAATTTAGGCAACGGTCCACAAAAGTACTATATATATATATATATATATATATATATATATATATATATATATATATATATATATATATTTAAAAAGTTCGTAATGTTGTGAATATTAAATTTTAATAACAATAATTGCCAAAAAATACTGTATTATTGACAGTAAAAAAAAGAAAGAAGAAATTATATATATATACACAAATTAAAGTAAATTCAGTGTGATTTTTGGTATTACTTTCCTTGTATAATATTATCAATATCTCCTTTTATGGTACAACTTTTATGCTCAGAATATTATTTAAATGGAAATAAATCAACGTTTCTGCAGTTTTGACGTCTTTTATGCCCGAAAAAATTCTTCACAGAGGTATGTACTACCCGAACATGCATAACAGTTTTCTAGATAAATTGACAATTTCATTAAATTCGTTGAAAGAATGAAGGGAATGTTCTCTATGATAAGTTTTAAAAATTCCCCGCTTTGAAGTTCAATGACTTCTACTGGTATTTGGTTGATGTTTCCGCATAATTAAATGAATATGGATCACTAAACAATTTTGATACAATTTCTCTTTTTCTCAAGCTCAGAATCTTCTAACAAAACTTTACATAATTTACTATATTTTTCAACGTTCACGAAAAGTTTTTTTTTAAAAAGTCTGAGAATGCCCAACTTCACCGGTTTTCAATTGTGCTATCAAATGTTTTAACTTCTTAGTAAAAACTACTATTCGCTTAAAACCTATTGTTCGCTTAAAAACTATTATTAAACTGATTCTAAAATTAAAAAAAAATCATTATTTTTACCAATTAAAGCTGGAGAACAATCATTTATAATCGAATAAATTTTATTTCTATCAATATTGAAATTTTTCAATTGATAAATTAACGTGTCAGTTGCTGTACCCTTCATATGGCAAAAGTTCAACATTTCTTCAATTATATTAAAATTGACATCAATTTCTCTGACTGAAAATAACAAATTGTGCAGTTTCACCTTGATCAGTACACTTCCGTCCAATGCTAAACTGTAATAAACACATTTAGATAATTGGGTCTGCAATGTACTCACAATACCGTCAGCTATGTCATCAATTCGTCTACCAATTGTCTGATGTAAGAGACTCGTTTCATTAAATAAGTTCTCTTTCTCGAGACAATATTCATTAAAAGCAATTACAATACGTTCTTTTATTAATTCACCATTTATCACTGGCTTGCCCTTCCGAGCCAATTTTTCGGCTATTAAATAGCTAACTTTTTGTACATGTACCAGTCTTAACAAGAGATTTTTTGAGAATGTTCTGTCAAGAACTGAACTGCTACTTTAGTTCACCTGTTTTCATTCTTCTTCCTTCTTCGTTTTAATTTATTATATTCCGACTCATGCCTGACAGCGTAGTCAGGCTTAATATTATATTCCTTGCACACGGTAATTTTATCAAGACACATGAGGCAGATAATATGGCAGCATGTTTCAATTTCGAAATATTTTTCTGTCCATCGGATACTGAATTTTCTCTTTTCTTCTGTTATTTTTCCTTTTCTTAAAATTAGATGCCAGGACCAAATGCTGGTTTATTAAAAATATAAATTTAAAGTTAACTAAATAATTATGAATATAATTAGGAATGTGTCAAAAGTATTTAAATTATTACGTCAGCAGAAGAAAGATAGAGCCATACCTATGTCTGTATTCTAGTTACATTATTCGGACTATTGTCCTCATCTTTGTAGCCATAATTACCACAACGTTTCGGCCGTTGTACGCTCCGGTCTTCTTCAGGTGGTTGGAATGTCGAACTGAACCCTTTATTTCGCTCACTGGGGTAGACTGGTTCTAGTTCCACGTGCCATGTCTAATGGATGTCAGTTATCTCATGTTAATTCCCCTCTGAAAGTTCTCCACTGCCTTTTCCAGGTATTGAATTCACACTCTTTGAGTCCTGTCGCTGGATCTAACTAACGCCTTTATCCACTGTGTCATGTGTCCTTGAGGACATTTGTGTATGAATTTCTGGGTATATAATGATTGATCTAGTTCCACGTGCCATGCCTTTTCTGGATATCTCAGTTTTCAGTTGATTCTCTTTAGTATCTCAACTCTTCATGTTCTTGTTCACCTCTGCTGTGGCCAGTTATTGAATTCAAAATTCTTGGGGTAAAATCACTGGATTACTTCCACCAACCCATCAACCAACTGGGCCATGTGTCCTTGAAACCCCAGTGAGCGAAATAAAGAGTTCGGTTTGAAATTCCAACGTATATCACCTGAATTCGTGAATTTGACAATAATGAACAATGTAAATAATCTAAATAGTTATCCCTATTTTTGTTCAAACAATTAACAAGAAAAATAAATTGGCACAAGAAATGAAAAAGTTCGCATTAAAATCAGAACACCGAAAAAAAAACATGGATCCTTTGGTCTTAGTCGGATGAACAGAAGTTTGATTAAGACCAGTATGTGAACAGGTAGCTATGCACATACCCTTCCGATATTATAAGGATTATCAACATCGAGTATCCAGCAACTACCACGGTGTGTGGAATTGTGAGTAACGGGGGACTACTTTTCTCAAGGCCTTCGGGTTAATGTTGTTGGATACATTGATGTACTTGAAACAGAGTTTAAGTCCAGGGTAATGTAGAATACGCAGTGGAAGACCGCACGTGGTTCAGCAATAATCCGCGCCTTCCCATAAATCTCAAGTGATGAAAGAATGGATAGTTGACAATTTTTTTTAAATCGTGTAACGCTTCAAATGTAGCTTCCAAACAGACTAGATCTTAAATTCTCTGGGCTCTTATGAGGCGTATTAAGAGTCAGGTTAATTAACTCCCCCGTCATATCAAAGATACTCTAAAGGTGATCATCGTCATATCAACGGTTGAAATAAACAAAGAATATATGATTCAGGCAAGCCAAAGCTTCCAATACAGCATCGAAGCTGTCACTCATGCTGAAGGTGGACATATTGAATAAATTTAATCAGTTCTTATGGGATTCTATAAATGGCCAGTGTCATTGCTGACAAAAGTGACTTCGTGGGGAGAATAATGCTTAAGCTTTAAAATGTTTGATTATAATTCCATTTTTGATTATAATTCCAATTTTTGTCACGAATCTTTTAATGTCTCTCGTAGAAATAAAATGTATGAAAATTTAATATATGTTAGGGAACTTATCATGTGGATACGCCAGAGGTGTAGTAGATAAAAGCTGGCAAAGAGAAAATGGAAAGCAGATTTCAAATTCCTTTCGAGTTCACTTATGCGAAAATACTTTTGGGAACAGAATGAATCCATCTCTTTCCAATTAGTTACGGGTCAATAGTAGATGGGTAGTAAGTCTTGGAGTAGGACAATACTAAAATCATAACCGTTTAACAATACTGGTGTCAGACGCTGTCGAATAACACTAGCTCGATAATACTCGCTCGAAGAGTAGCCACCAAATAGTAATCCATAAAGTGATCCGATTAGACAACAGCATAGTGAAGAGTATAGCGATAAGGGATATGGCAGAAAGAGTGATTCGTATAGCAATAGAGGACAGACGAGAAATGGTGATCAGTATAGGAATAGAAGATAGACTAGAAATGGTTATCAGTTAGACGCCACGCTAATTCCCATTTATGCCTTTCCTTTACGGTCACGTGATCTACTTAATTCAATAATGGGATCGCCTGTTTTTGCTCACGATCAATGTTCAAACACAACTGTCGACAGCGACACTTTAATCCTATATAACACGTATGTACCCCAGGTGAAGCACCATCTACTATGTAGCTAAGTAAAGAGATTCCCAATGGCTCTATGGACCCGGCGTTTATATATATATTATATATATATATATATATATATATATATATATATATATATATATGCGCATATTTCGGCAGCATGTTTTCATTAAGTCATGTTTCGTTGTACAGTGTAGGCATTTGTTGTCTACTCATTTTCGTTAAGATCCTTTCATACTCTCGGATAATTTTTTTGATGTCATTACTGAAAGACGAGAGAAAATCACCGTGTTTATACATATTTGTTTTATTACTTTCGACATATCCATGTTATCACCAGGGTATTGTTTATAATAAAATGAATATTATAGTATTCATTAATTCCAGAGACAAATTTTTGTGTTATTTCAGATAATTATCTCTAGACAGAAAGATAACAGACATAGATAGACAGATATTGAATAGACATAGATAGATACATAGATAGAAATATAGATAATGACCAAACGTAGATAGATAGATAGATAGATAGATAGATAGATAGATAGATAGATAGATAGATAGATAGACAGATAACAAACATAGATAGATAGATAGACAAAGATAGATAGATAGATAGATAGATAGATAGATAATGAACAGACATAGAGAGACGGTGAACAAACATAGATAGATAGATAGATAGATAGATAATGAACATAGAGAGAAAATGAGCAGAGATAGATAGATAGATAGATAGATAGATAGATAGATAGATAATGAACAGACATAGAGAGACAATGAACAGACATAGATAGATAGATTGATAATGAAGATTGAGAGATAGGTAGCTAGATAACCAGATATAGGTAGATAGATAGATAGATACATAGATACATACATAGATAGGTAATGACCTGATACAGATAGATAGATAGATAGATAGATAGATAGGATAGGATAGATAATTACCACAGATAGATAGATAGATAGATAGATAGATAGATAGATAGATAGATAGATGCTTTGTATTAAGAAAGAAAGAAAGAAAGAAAGAAAAAAGAAATTGCAATAAGAAGGAAGGAAATAGGAATGAGAGGAAATAATGACGATAAGAAAGAAAGAAGGAAAAAAGAAAGAAATACGCTTCTATTTTGGCAATGATTAAGTATGAATGCATTGACGTTAAGAAAGAAATGATGGTCGAAAATCGCTTGTATTTCATGATACAAAATATATTGCCATTTCAAATGGGGATTCTGATAAGCTGAGCCTGTTATAATTTCTGTCCTCTCAAAAATTCATTCGTGCTGACGACTAAGAGATCAAAGGTTACCGGACAGCTCAGAATTTATGACGAATTGACTGCATTGCCTCTTTGCTCATGCGTAAAGATTTTTCATCGGCATATTATTATTATTATTATTATTATTATTATTATTAGTAGTAGTAGTAGTATTAAGTAACGAAATGAATAGAATCGGTTTAACCATCCTCCATATGAAGCTATGTACAATAAATTCTAGCTGGATTACACGTTTACACCAGGTAAGAGTCCAGGTCCTAGATTTAAGCAGGATCTAATGAGAGAAAAATAATTTCATCATACTGATGGTGAGGTTATAATTATTTTTCAACAGAGCGTATTTCAACCGTAAGAAAAAAAAAACCCAAAAGAAAGAAAGAAAGAAAAGTAGAAAGAAAATCTCGTAAGAAAGAAAAAAAATGATTGTATCTCAATGGTAATTAAGTAATATGAGAAAGAAGGAAAAAAGTAAAAAAGGGAAAAGGGTTGTATAATGCCAGAAAGAAAGAAAAAGACTGACTGTATTTTGAGAGAAATGACTGTATTTATTTAGAAAAGAAAGAAAATTAAAAACAAAGAAAAAAGAAGAAAGAAAGAAAGATAAAGAGGAAAGAAACAGCAGAATAGTCCTTCTTACAAAATGTTTATTATCTTAAAAGCCACTAAACTTCTTGAGTTATTTTATTCCAGGTGATCAGATAAGACGTTTAGCCATCTTGACATCATTTTTAGTATGAATCGCTGAAAAACCTTTTGTGTAATTTCCCTTAGAAAGAGAACAACTTAAACTCGTTTTGTGTTAGCACCACTATCTCTTCCTATAGAAAAAAAGATCATTCAGGACTTTATTAATTGTAGCTACATTCATACTGTGGCTTCCATCTTCAAAGTCCGTTCAAGAACCATTAAGAGAACGGTAAATAACTTTAAAAAAGAGGAACAGTAGGGAACTTTAAAAGAGGGAACAGTATATATATATATATATATATATATATATATATATATATATATATATATTTATATTATTTTATATGCGCCGTGTTTAGTGGAAAGCTCTCAATATCCGTGATAGAGATATCATAATAAGTTGTATGGATATGACTTTGTGACCTGAGTTTCACGCTTTTGCGATCATCAGGCAAACTGCAGTGTGTCTGATGATCACAAAAGCGTGAAAACCCAGGGTCACAAACTCATATCCATACAACTTATTATATATATATATATATATATATATATATATATATATATATATATATGTGTGTGTGTGTGTGTGTGTGTGTGTGTGTGATTCATTAAAACTTTGCAGTGTAATTAAAGTCATAAAATATTTTTATATTGTAAGAATTATTTTTGTGGGGAGATAATAATGATTTAGTGATACAAGTCTTACTAATTAACCCATAGTGGTGGAAACGAAGTGGATTCATACTATTTCGAAGGATGTTTGTACGGAAGTGAAGATAACGAACCCAACGGGAATTGGAACTCAGGCCCTCCAATTAGCAATTATGTACATTATCTATTACACCACCCGCCAAGTTAAAAAGAAGAAAGATTAAAGGCAAATGGTCGTATTTCGTCCGAAACAAACAGGCAAACGTTGGTTGTATTTTGATAGAAAATCGTTATTTTTCGAATAAAATAAAGAAAACTTATTGTATTCTGAAAAGTAAAATGAAAGACAGAAAGGGAAATGATTATAGTTGGACAAATGTAAAGAAATCATGCTAAGAATGGAAGAGAAAAATTATACGAAATTGCTGGATATAAAAAGAGTTCTTAAAATCCTACAAATTTTATGACAAAAAAAAAGTTGCCAGACATTCTCATGGCGTCTTCAAACGATGTATTTTCGATAAATTTTTCACCATTGTTCAAAGTCAAGACACATGGCGGCTTCAGGCAAAGAAGTTTTCAGAAATTTTAGAATTTTTATTATGTTGCGTACCCAAATATGTTTTTTTTTTATATACGAAAACGAAATAACTAAAATCTATAATGAAATGAAACTTTTCTGCATTTTCAAAATTTATTAACGTTTTTTCTTGCCAACCATGAAACGTTATAATTTTATTGTTAGAACCACGTGACCTCAAATATTTTCGTATGTATTTCCAGATTATCAGTTGACCAACAACAGAATGCCTAAAGTCTCTTAGAAATGCAATCATTCCATAGTACGTTGTTTCCCCTTTAGTTCCTGGATTTATACTTTTTTAAAATCGGTTTCACCCCAAGCAAGGCCAAAAGACACTAAAGCACAGAAGGAATTGGTTGGTTGCGGGGGGGGGGTTACAGGTTGTGGAAGAATTTGAAATGAGAAACTTTACTAAGGAGCGAGAACAAAAGAAGGGTAATCAGGAGGATAGTAGATAGCGATTGACATTGCATTTATATTTTTGAAGATTAAAGTTGGCTGGTAAGCATGCGAGGAGAGCGAGACAAGAGAGAAGTGCGAGAAGAGAAACTGCTAGCATAGAACTTACGGTTACATCTAGCCAAATCAATTGGTGAGACCTCATCGCTAGTCGAGTACTGCGCTTAAATTAAGAAGTCTAGGTACCTCATCCGAAAAATCACCATTTAAAAATATGTATAGAAAAGGCACAGAGAGGCAACCTTACGGCGGTGGGAAAGTGACTGAAGCCGAGACGCCAGATCAGGACCAATAATATTGCTGATTCTTCTTTGGATTTTATCTAGTATCTCGAGATATAACGCGGGAACATCAGACCATATGTGACAGCAATATTCTAAGAATGGACTAATGGTACAACTTGTAAATCTGATTTCAGAGAAGCAAAACTCTCTAGCACAACAATTGATACCAAAATTAGAATAGTTTTAGTTAAATTGTTTATACTTGGACTATTGGCGTTTCCTTGCTGTTATTATCACTGTGTTTCTTTTGTCGTATACTTCGGGATTCATCGGGTGCTTGTCAATTCGGTTAACCTTCAAGGAATTCCGAACTTAAAATTCTATACGGGGTTAGATTATTCTCGTTCCGGTCTTATCTACTTTTTAATTACTACTCTCCTGTTTTTGATTACCCTGTTAGAACTGTCAGTCTGCACTATCGGCACAATTACTGTGTCCCCAATTTCATAAACCAACGCTTTGATCTACCTCAACACTGATCCAGTGGAATAATCCGGAATCTACAACTCGAGAATTAAACCTAATCTACCTGATGCCCTTCTACGTAGTTTGACTTCATTCAGGGAGGCTTCTCTTTTCATACTGCTGCTGCTTTTGAAGCTTTGCTGTAATTTCTCTTTTGTTTTCAATTATTAATTGATTTGTAACATTTAATACCCCGAAACCAAACTAGTAATCATCATAATCATCATCAATATCGAGGAGACCCTGAACTTTTGCCTGTTGGCTCTTCTGTCAAGGATGCACCTATTCTCGGACACCTACTGGGACTCAGGTTGCCCTATATATCCTCTGACATTACTCACACAGCTCAATAGTGGAAGAACTGGCTTGTGGCATTCAATAACTCCAAAACCAAGTTAGTAACGTTTCATCATCGCAGAGAAGGTCTAGATTTCTATCCTGTCGTGATGCCCCGTTGTACCTTCAGGAAATCTCTTTGCCCAGAATGTCTATTTGGACTCAAGCACATTGCAGATGCAAGTCGAATATACGACTAGTCGCTAAAGATTTTTTTAATCATTTCACCTCGAGTAAAGCAATAAAGCCACTAAGACACAATAGGTTACTGACTATTAGAGAATATAAGGAAAACACTATTAAGGAGTGAGGACAATAAAAGAACAAGAAGATAACGATTGACAACCCCTACCGAAATTTCTGAGACGAGGTATTGTAATTATTTACATTATTTACATTGGTCGGACTGTTGTCCTCACCTTTATTGCAATATTCACGACATTTCGGCCGTTGTACGCTCCGACCTTCTTCAGGTGATTAGAATTTCAGACTGATCCCTTTATTTTGTCCACCAGGGTAGATTATTCTAGTTCCACGTGCCATACCTCTTCCAGATGTCTCAGTCATCTACCTTTAACTGAACTCTCCAAGTTTTTGTCCGCCACTGCAGTAGCTAGGTATTGAAGTCACACATCTTTGGGTTAAGTTACTGGATTCAAACAACACTTTTATCCACTAAGCCATGTATTCAGTTCCAAATTCTAATCACCTGAAGAAGGCCGGAGCGTAAAACGGCCGAAACTTCGTGAATATTGCAATAAAGATGACGAAAACCGTCCCAACAATGTAAATAATGTAAATGATTGACAACGCATTTAAAAATTTTGAAGTTCAAAGTTGACTGGAAACCAAAAAGTCGGAAGAGAGTTCCACAAGCGAGAAGTGCGATAAAAGAAACTGTTAGCTTATAACTTACGGTTACATCCAGCCAACTCAACAGTAACATGGTGAGACCTTGCAACCAATCTAGTACTGCGCTTAAATTCATAAAGTCTAGGTACTAGAGAGGAAAGTTCATCAGAAGAATTACCATGAAAGCGTTTATAGAAACGGAACAGAGAAGCTATATTACGGCGGGGGGAAAGTAACTCAAGCCTGAATGCCAGGTCAGGACCAGTAACATTGCAGATTCTTCGTTGGATTTTATCAAAAATTTTAAAAATATTTAGCAGGATTACCAGGCCCGATGTGGTAGCAATATTCAAAGCAAGAAGTAATGGTAGACTTATATACCGGGTGTAACAGTAAAATTGTCCAAATCTTGTAACAGGATGGGGTAATTGTCCATCCTAGAAAATGTTTAATATCTAAAAAAACAAACAACACTAAACTAATTGTGTTTCTTTATTACAGGTTTTCAGATAAGACGTTTAGCCTTCTTGACACCATTTTTAATACGAATCACTTAAAAAAAACCTTTGAGTAATTCAACTAGAAAGAGAACAGGTTTAAAC